ACAAAGGTGTATAAAACTAAGGGTATAATATGGAAAAAATTGTAAATAAACTAATGTAAGTAGAAACTTAGTTGACGTTTTCTTTTATTTCCTTTTGTTTGTTGTTGTTTTTGGTTGTATTGTTGCAATTATTGTTAACATAGTAGTTATAATTATTAGCATGTATGTTATTTATCAGTGACCTCTCTCTGGTTGTGCTTTATTTGCATTGTTATCCTGACATGGCACTGTCTTTTCAATAAAATAAAATAAAATAAAATAAAATAATAAAATAAAAATAGATAGTATTTGATTAGAGTTCCAAAAAGAGAGAGAGAGAGAGAGAGAGAGAGAGAGAGAGAGAGGGAGGGAGGGAGGGAGGGAGGGAGGGAGGGAGGGAGGAGGGGAGAAAAAACAAAAAAACTTTTTGGGGACGAAATAAAATAGGGGAGGAATAGTTGCGTTGATCCAGTAAGGGATAAAGATAAAGGTTCCCCTCGCACATATGTGCTAGTCATTCCTGACTCTAGGGGGCAGTGCTCATCTCCGTTTCAAAGCCAAAGAGCCAGCACTGTCTGAAGACATCTCTATGGTCATGTAGCCAGCATGACTCAATGCCAAAGGCACACGGAACGCTGTTACCTTCCCACCAAAGGTGGTCCCTATTTTTCTACTTGCATTTTTTACCTGCTTTCGAACTGCTAGGTTGGCAGAAGCTGGGACAAGTCCCGGGAGCTCATCCCGTTATGCGGCACTAGGGATTCGAACCGTTGAACTCCCGACCTTTCGATCAACAAGCTCAGCGTTTTAGCCACTGAGCTATCACGTCCCTTTAGCTTTTTATTTACCCTAATATTAATGCACTAGACATATCAAAAATCTCAGAGTTCAGATTTCCAAAGAACAGAACTCCTTATTGGATTCGGCATATTCCAGAAAACCAGTAACGTAACAGAAATAAGCAGGAAGTTTTAACGGGATGAATAATGGAAAGTCGATTGCCAGTGCCACAAGGAACCAGATGGCAAACTCTCCGGAACCCTTTTTAAGTCAGCAGAGTTTGTGTCTTCACCAAGAATGTGCTAAAATACATTCCCAACTTACAACCGCAATTGCACCCAAAATTTCTGTTGGTAAGTGAGAGAGTTGTTAAGTGAGTTTCCCCCCCCAAACACACACAATTTTATGACCTTTCTGGCCACAGTGCTTAAGCGAGTCGGTGCAGTTGTTATCTAAGTAACGTGGTTGTTAAGTGAATCTGGCTTCCCCATGGACTTTGCTTTTCAGAAGGTCGCAAGAGGATCACTTGACCCCGGAACACTGCAACAGTCATAAATATGAGTCAATTGCCAAGCATCTGAATTTTGATCACGTGACTATAGGGATGCAGCAACGGCCGTGTGAAAAACGATCGTAAGTCACTTTTTTCAGTGTTGTTGTCACTTCCAACAGTCACTAAATGAACTGTTCTGAGCTAAGGACTACCTCTAGATGAAAGTTTGGTCTTCCTAACTAGAATATCCCAAAGGTGCTTCTTTTTCAAGAGGCAGCTGGACTTTCTGGTTTTTCTTTGAAGACGTTTCGCTTCTCATCCAAGGAGCTTCTTCAGCTCTGACTGGATGGTGGGGAATGAAAGGATTGATACTCCTTGCAGACAACTGGTCATTTGCATCCTTTTTAGAGGGTCATTGAGGCCACTTGGAGGTTTATCTGTGTCCTCAAGCAAAACATCTTCAAAGAAAAACCAGAAAGTCCAATTGCCTCTTGAAAAAGCCCCTTTGGGACAACCATGAGCTGGAGGACTGAGAATCTGCACAGACAGATAACTAAAATAGCTTTTCGGATTTCTTGAGAAAATGTGGAATGCAGCCATCCAAAAGCATTTTTAAATGACACCATAAAAGGATTTACAACCAGCTATTGATCTCCTTTTTTACGGAAAAAGGATGCCCTTCAATCATTTTGGTAGTCTGCCGGTACAATATCTAGCAGGTCATTTAAAATTAACATCCGAACTATAGAAGAAATATAGATTTCTTTCTTCCGTGTTTCTATTTTACGAGAGGGGGGGGGGGAAGAATCCAATAATTGCTAAAGGCAGAATCAAACTGGTTTTATAGTTTCAAGAATCTCTACTTTACACATTGGTGCTATCGGTCATCTCTTAAAGGTAAAGGTTCCCCTCGCACATGTGTGCTATTCGTTCCCGACTCTAGGGGGCGGTGCTCATCTCAAAGCCAAAGAGCAGCACTGTCCGAAGACGTTTCCATGGTCATGTGGCCCGCATGACTGAATGCCAAAGGTGCACAGAAAGCTGTTACCTTCCCACCAAAGTGGTCCCTATTTTTCTACTTGCATTTTTTTACGTGCTTTCGAACTGCTAGGTTGGCAGAAGCTGGGACAAGTGACGGGAGCTCACCCCGTTACGCGGCACTAGGGATTCGAACCGCTGAACTGCCGTTTCGATCGACAAGCTCAGCATCTTAGCCACTGAGCCACCACATCACCCTAAGGTCATTTTTTTTTAAATTTGATTTATATGCCGCCCTTCTCCGGAGACCCAGGGCGGCTTACAGTGAGCTAAGCAATAGCCTTCATACTTTTGTATATTTTAGACAAAGTCAGCTTATTGCCCCCACAAACTGGGTCCTCAATTTACCTACCTTAGAAAGGATGGAAGGCTGAGTCAACCTTGAGCCTGGCAAGATTCGAACTTACTTTAATTGCAGAGAGCTGGTGTTAAATTACAGTGCCTTGTCTGCAGAGCTATCCAGGCTCTTCCATCTCTTCCATTCTATCAAAGCACTGAAACCTCATGATTTATTTAGCAAGCTAAAACTCTGAATGTTCACAGCCTTAAGATGTATCCCATTACAATATCATATGAAAATCCACTGAGACGCATAATATGCTAAGGCATGTTTTTATCACAAGTTGTTGAATAAAATCACCCTTGGCTGATTTCATACAACACATTAACCCGGAACCAAAGGTGGGGAGGGGGAAGAAAATAAACCGGTAAACCAACTTAAATCAGTATCGAGGCCTATAGACCTCCAGCTCTGAGGTCAATACCCTAAAACCCACTTGGCAAGAACCATTCACATGTTATTATCGCAAGTATTAAATCTGGCATTCGGACCACTTATTGCTCAGTTCAACTCAACACAACTGTCTTTGACCAAGGTGTAAAAGACATCCATGATGAAAAAGCAGAACTACATTCGAATCATTCATATCAACTATGCCTAATTCAAGATTTAGCAGCAACATACAAGAGAGAGGGATCTCAGCTTCGTGGGTCAAGCAGAACAGGCAACACCCCGTCTTGATGTCGTCAACCCCTCACCTCAAATCTTCCCAAATGAGAAAGAACGGCAGCTACAACTCTACTTAAAGCACACAACAGTGTGCAACATGCCGAAAGCCTACATTCGCGTCAACTGCAGCAAGAATTAAAATCGAAGTGGAAATTGCCTTAAGGCTGGACAAGATGCTGGTTTTGAAATTTAAAGCTCAGTTCACCATCCCACTACGTTACAGTTGGTTGAGCCTGGATGGTAAGTTCTGCTATGAACCGCAGGTTACCGAATGACAAACAGCCGGGGTTGCAAGCCGTATTAAGTCAAAGCCGAATCAACCATGCAAGATGGGATCCCAGACGTTGTAGATTCCACGATATCCAGCTTGACAAGGAGATGGAAAATTAACAGCAGCCTTCCTCCTAAAATTTTGACTCGACCCTTCGGTGGTAAGGTAAAGGTAAAGGTTCCCCTCGCACATATGTGCTAGTCGTTCCCGACTCTAGGGGGCAGTGCCCATCTCCGTTTCAAAGCTGAAGAGCCAGCGCTGTCCGAAGATGTCTCCGTGGTCATGTGGCCAGCATGACTCAACGCCAAAGGCGCATGGAATGCTGTGACCTTCCCACCAAAGGTGGTCCCTATTTTTCTACTTACATTTTTTTTTTATGTGTTTTCGAACTGCTAGGTTGGCAGAAGCTGAGACAAGTCACGGGAGCTCACCCCGTTAAGCGGCACTAGGGATTCAAACCGCTGAACTGCCGACCTTTCAATCAACAAGCTCAGCGCCTTAGCCCCTGAGCCACCGTGTCCCTTTGGTGTTTAAAAAAAAATCATGACACTTGCTTTGGCACATAAGTAGGAAGTGAGCAGCAGCGAATCCCATCCAGAGGTGGGGATCAAAGCTTAGCAGAATCCTGTTTTCAGCCATCTGAAATGCTCAGTCCTTAGATTGGTGGGTTTTGTTTTTTTTTCAACCTTGGCAGCTTTGAAGATGGGTAGACTTCAAACTCCCAGAATTCCCCAGCCCCTGGGGATGATGATCCACTGCTGGCTGGGGAATTCTGGGAGTTGAAGTCCACCCATCTTCAAGTTACCAAGGTCGAGAAACACTGACTTGGACTGGGGTCCCCAACCCCTGAGCCGCGGGCTAGTACTGGTCCGCAGCCTGTTGTGAACCACCGGGCGAGGGTGCAAAGCTTCATTTGCACATGTGCAGGAACTAGGTGGCATGCACGAAATCACCCCCTCTCCCCTCCCCCAATTCCAACCACCGCCGAGGTCAGTGGAGACAGAAGGTTGGGTACCGCTACCTTGGATAATACTCTGAAACCTGCAGTCCAAGAGATTCCATGCTTTGGTTGCATCTGTTCCCATTTTTACACACTGCAAAGAGAGTTGAGAGTAACCCCATTCCCCGCCACTCGTCCCTTCAATCCAGATCGGGGGTTCACCAACCTTTCGGATCTCAGGGACCACTAAAATTCATAATTTTAAATCCCGCGGACCACAAAAATGATTTTTTTTAAAAAAAGATAAATAGTATTTCGTGCAATATAAAAAAAATGCAAATCATTTTTCTGCGGGCCACCAACATTTTCTCACGGACCACCGGTTGGTGATCCAGACTACTCGCACACACGCCCTAAAGCATGAAAGGTGACGAAGGCATTTCTCTTTCCCTTACCCACCCACCCCTCCTCCACCCCACTTCTCCTCTACCTGCATTCGGTGAGATTACAGCAGTAACTGCCACTCCTCCGGCTATTCCGCCGATCGGATCGAAATTCATTCCTGGATTTCCGGAGGCTGAAGTATTCGGTCAGCTTCCCGAAAGACGACATGGCACCAACACAGTCCAACCTTCGGCGTGTGGACATATGCCTGGACCACCCTGGGCGCCCCTGTGACGGGCTACAGCCAGCGTGTCTGCTTAAATCCCAAGATGTGTCACCCAAGGCTGGCTGTCGAAAAGAGAGTTGGAGAGAAAGAGAGAGAGAGAGAGAGAGAGAGAAACGCAAGGAGTTTAGCCAGAACGAGATACAATCTCCCAGGGATGGATTCATGCGGACTCAAAAGCAACACCCAGGCAATGACATATTATTAATTAAGGACATCCTCGTGGCACCACCCCTCCCCTCCGGAGTGGGTAAAAAAGAAAGAAAGAAAGAAGAAGAAGGCTTTTGGCACTGACAAAATGCATTTCACAGTTCTTGCTCTAAAGAAAAGATTTTGGCACAAAGAGGTGCATTTACATAAGAAAGTGGAGGGGGAAGCTGGGTTTAATTAAAATGGAGGCTGGGAGGCTTTTTAGCATGGACTTTTACGAAGGAGGAACTACAGGGCAACCAGTCAAAGGTGTTTTTTAAAATAAAATTGGGTTGCAAGCTGGGAAAGGCAATTTTCCCCTCTTTTGCAAAATCCACTGGGCCAGGGGTGTTTCAGAGAAGAATCTGTTGCCTTTAAGACCAGATGAAAGGAAGAGAAGAGGAGGGGGAAAAAACACACACACACACACACACACAAAAGTCATCCTAAACACATCAGAACTTTCAGGGGTGTCAGATTATTAACCTTTAAACCGGGAGAGGCACATTTGGACCAAAAGGAGGAGGAAATATTTGGACAGGGGTGTATTTCATGCCCAGGGTAAACACTGTGGCAAGAGAAGAACATGGGTACGAAATGGCAAATTAACCAACTCCTCTTTTGCCAACTGTTGTGGGTGCCATATTAAAAAAAAAAAAGGAACACAAACCCCTCTTGGGGTTGCCCCAAGCCAACCACATCCGAGAACAGAGGAGGGTTGGGAATCAGTCACATCCTTGCCCCTGAAAAAACAATTTTTATTTTCCGTAGCAACCCTCTGCGGCTCCATCCATCCGACGAGCAAAGCGGCCGGCTCAGAAACGGAGCATCCAACCTCAACTGGGCTGGCTACCCCCCCCTCCCCAAAACAAGCACAGCTGCTTCCGAAACCGGGAATGAGGGTTTGCAAAGGGGAGATTTCCCTGTGGTTTTTCCACGAAGACTTCGGGCAGGTATTTGAAGAAACGTTCAAAGCAATGGTGGCAAACCCCTCTTTCCTTTCCTTCTCTCCTTTGGGGGCAGGATTCCTCCGAGGGGGCCCCCTCCCCTCCAATTCAAAGCCTACGTGCATGCCAGGACACCCCCCCCCTTAATTTTCCCCTTGTCCTCCTTTCTCCTCTGGGTGGTTGCAGATGCCTGAACACAAACACGAGGGGAACATCTGAAACACACGCACATGCAAACAGACACACACACAGATGCACACAGAAAAGAGAGGGGGGGGAAGCCAGGGAGAGGGAGGGGGGGCATGGTGGAAGCAAGGAAAACAAACCCCCATTTAAACCACAATGTCTGTGGACAGGGCACCTGCTGAGTTCCCCCCCCCTCCCAGCTGCACAGCTTTACTTTGGTCTGTTGTGTTTGGCAATCGCTTCCCCGCAGTCTCCAAAGGAAAATCTCTCTCTCTCTCTCCCTCTCTCTGTGCCTCTCTTTCCCTTTCAGCTGCTTGGCAGTAGTAGGTTAAGAGAGAGAGGGAGGGAGGGAGAAGGGGGAGAGGGAGGGAGAGAAAGGCAGAGAGAGAACGAGAATCCAACCAAGCCTCAGGCAGACCGTCTTGCTCCCTGCTGAAGATTTTTTGAGACCAAAATGCAACCTGGAGAATTTTTTCCCCTCTTCCATCTGATGCCTGAACTATCTCCTCTCTCCTCTCCTCTCCTCTCCTCTCCTCTCACCAAAGTCGGATACCAAAAAAACCACCTCTTGCATCAGGGAATGTATTAATAAATAACCCCTCCATCCATTTACTTGCCGGGCTCAAAAAAGCGGCATTTGGCTTGCTCGTGGGTCTTCTCACATGTCCACTCCGCCTGGGGCGTTCTCTTGTCCCTTTCTCTCCCAGAGAGGACGGCCACCCAAACAAAAATTGTGATCTGCCAAACGAGGTCAGGTCGGGGAAAGCCGAGCGGAGGGTGGGTGGCACAGAGATGAGGAGGGAAGTGGAGGAGGGGGTGGTGGTGGTAGAGAGGACAGATGGAGGGAGGCTGGGGGTAGGGAGGAAGACAATGCCAGCACTTTTCAGAATCTCCGTTCTTCCAGCAAGGCTCTTCGAGATGCAAACTGCTTTTTGTTTTGTTTTTTTCGGGAATGATGCCCACACCTTGGGAAGGTTTTTTTTTTTGTGCGACGGTTGGTTGCTGGTTGCAGCTCCTAAGCAACACAACCGGGAAGGGGAGGTAACTTCTCGCTGACTTGCAAGGTGAGGAGGTTTAGACTGGGCTTTTATAAGAGGGGAGAGGAATGGTCACATCGCCTTTGCGTCTTCTGGATCATCCATCAAGGACGCGCAAGTATCCGCCAGAGATTTTCTGTTAGTTTGACTGAGTGCACTTTCCCGTCGGCTTGAGCGAATGAACGATGAGGGCTGCCCTACAGGTGGCTTCTTAGAATACCTTCTGCAGAATTTTGACAGGCAGATGAAGACAGGAGGTGGTCTGTTGTAATTAAGAGCGCCCCGATTCCATAACAACACTACCAGCTGATGACTTGCAGGTGAAAATGATTACCAGTCATCTCAACCAATAGCCCAAAACTGCTTTTTTAAAAAAAAAATTTAGTGACCCAGCTTCTGGATAGATGGAACATTGTCCGACCAATGATCTACTCAAGGGAAGCCAGATCTGACTTGCATCCTTCTCTGGTGGAAGACTTATCAAGACATTCCCAGGGAGTCCCCAAAAAACAAATAAACCAAAAAGCATCCCTCAAAAGAGGGATGGGAAATCATTTCCATGAAGTCATCCATCCGTGACGTCACCAGAAATGGAGGCCACCTCAAGGGAATGCAACTTGATGTGGATACTTTCATGTCAACCCCGGTCAACCCAGTCAAAGACAGCAGAAACAACAGCAAGGAGGGGAGGAGGGGAAAGCAGTTAAGGATCCCCAAAAGGAAAGACAGAAATCTGGGTTAGTAATCCATCTGCAGCCCCAACATTGTTGGGCCATGACGAGTTCTAGCATTCATCTCTAAGTATCTTACATCTCTTTGAAAACAAGAGTCTACCAATACCAAGTCATATCATCCCAATTACTTGGAAAATTACAATATACACACATGGATAAAAGATTATTGGATTTGCTTTGGATAGCTTTGGGTTTGTCTTTTAATTAATAGCTTATCCAGTCAGCCAAATTAGTTAGTTTAGATATCCAGATGCCTATAATCATGGATTTCAGATAATAGCCAGCTTATTTTGGGAAGTCTTTAAACGTAGAAATAAGAAAGTAATATATGACCAGGGGTGAAATCTAAAATTTGTTACTACTGTTCTGTGGGCGTGGCTTGGGGGGGTAATGTGACTGGGTGGGCGTGGCCAACTTTTTTTTTTTACTTTTAAAAGCATTTTGCAGGATGGTTGCAGAAAAAAAATGCTTTTAGAAGCTTCTGACGATCAGGCAAGTCAGCTGGGATCACCAGAGGCTTTTAAAGAGCCTTGGTAGTACAGTGGTCTAAGGCACCCTGTTATTAAGCTGGCTATTAAGACCAGCTGCCTGCAATTACTGCAGGTTCGAATCTCGCCAGGCTCAAGGTTGACTCAGCCTTCCATCCTTTCTAAGGTAGGTAAATTGAGGACCCAGTTGTGGGGGCAATAAGCTGACTTTGTATAAATATACAAAAGGATGAAGGCTATTGCTGAGCACATTGTAAGCCGCCCTGAGTCTCCAGAGAAGGGCGGCATATAAATCAATTTTTTTAAAAAAAGGCATTTTTTCCTACAATCTCTTCGGCTGAAGGGGTTGCAGAAAATAATGCTTTGAAAAGCCTCTGACGATCCCAGCTGAGCCGCGCGATCATCAGAGGCTTTTTTTTTTTACTTTTAAAAACATTTTTTCGGCCAAAGAGTTTGTAGAAAAAATGCTTTTAAAAGTAAAAAAAAACAGCCTCTGATGATCGCACATCTCAGCTGGGCATGGGGGGGGGCCACAGGGATTTTTGCTACCGGTTCTCTGAACCACCCGCTGCCATCGCTATCGGATCGGGCGATCCGGTTCGAACCGGGAGCATTTCACCCCTGTATATGACAGGATATTTACTTGTAATGATACACTTATATTGAAATATTTCAGGTTGCTAACTGCTTGGAGTTTAGATGTATTACCTCTGCTCTAGAGTACGAAAGAAGTTGGAAAATCTTTTGATAGGAGCTTCATTATGAGAAAGAAACATTGTCCGAGGAATGTGTGAACAGTTATCCACCGTTCGACATGATCAAGTCATCCAATGCAGTCTGCAGTTTAGAAGGGGGGAAAGCTACCATCCAGCTGTATTTAAAAGGCAGACTTCTGAGAAGAAAATGCAGAGGTTTAAAAGCCAACACTCGTGTCTGTTTTGCATCCATGACGCAGACATGGAACGAAAGAGACTTCTAGGTAAAATGCAGGTCAAGGGGAACACGGAATTCAAGCAGACTCATTCATCTCTTGCTATTCTTGAAGAGGTGTTTAAGTGCTAATATTCAAATATGATCAGCAACGTTGTGACCTAGGCTTACGGAGTCATTACAATACACAATTAGTCCCAAAAAAACCTACTTTATTGTAACAACTGAGAATTACGTTCATTCCCAGCCGAGTCCCAATAGTTGCAAAACAAGTCCTTTGGAAGAAGTCCTTTGGGACAATCACCAACTTTTATATTCTTTGACATCCTGCCAAAGGCCTTACTTGGCAAAGTCCCACGAAGTTCAGAAACAAACAAGAGATGCCGACTGGAAACAGAGTTAGCAACATTGCTTTCCTGCAAAAGGCCCAAGTGCCTCTGTTTCCTTTTTAAGCCTTATGGGAGGGGCCAATCATCTCCTGGCCTTACTCCCAAGTCGTCCCTTTTGCTTTAGCTGCTCTTGCCTTCTGGCAGCTCTGCGCATGCATGCACTATGAACAGGCGCCTTCTGTTCCTCTGCCTCTCTGCTGTCTGACTCTGGGGGCTCCGAAGTCTGCACATCACTCCTAGATGGCCCTGGCCCCAACTCTGCCTCCAATGCAGAGCCCTCATCTGGGCCATCCCCAGACTCCAGGACTGGC